TCATGATTCATGAGAAAGATTTAAGAACTGAAAAGATAAAAGGATACTAGAAAATAGAACATATAGCGATCCCGATTGTCCCTTTACTGTTCTGTTGTATTCCGGACTCGGTTCCGTGAGGTTGGTAGTGGTATCTATCTTGTAGTTGTCCTTTAATTCCACTTGATTGAGTTTTAGGACGTTTTGGGCAGGGTTGATACAGGTTGGTTAAGCCTTGGTCTATATCCTTGTTGCCCAGGTTTTTGGTGTTACGCTCAAACGGGCATTCTGCGCTCGAGCGGGGTTTGGTTTCTAGTTCAGCGCTCGAGCGGATGTTTTGACGCTCGAGCGGGGATTGCACACTCCCAGTTTCTTCAGGTCTCTGCAAAACTTCTGCAGGTGTGATTTCCACACTCGAGCGGGTTTCTTTATGCTCGAGCGGTGGCGCTCGAGCGGGTATTCTGACGCTCGAGCAGGTAGTACCTTTTCGGTGTAAGTTCTGGGAGGGGAGAATCTACGCTCGAGCGGACTGGTTTTCGCGCTCGAGCGGATGTGCTTTATTCTTGTGTCTTGGCGCTCGAGCGGGCCTTATTGCGCTCGAGCGTGTCCAGATTTTTGTTCTTGACGCTCGAGCGGGGTGTTCTCTACCTTAACGATCTATTTGGAAATTAAATAAAAAAGGAAATTGAATGGAGATGGAAATTGAATAAAAATATGCGTATATGAGTTATCCGCTGGGTGATTTTAAATCACTTTTTACTTTCCTTTCTCTCTCCTACTTTTTCTAAAACCCATTTTGAGAGCTCCTCTCTCTAGAGCTCTACCTTCTCTCTAGGTATTGATCTAGTAGGAGTGATTTCCTCACCTTTGGCCTTTACAAAAAAGTTGTTGATCGTCGAGGGCTATCTTTTGATCAGAAAAGTTCGTGGTTTGGAGCATTTTCGTTTTCTTCACCTTCTTGGTTGGGAGCCATTCTTTGAGGTAGGGATATCCTACTCCTCTTTATGAGCTTTGTCTTTAAATTTTAGTATTTTGAGATGTTGGTGTTGGTTTGGTAATTTTGTGAAAGTTTGGGGCTTTTGTGTAAATTTACAAAAAAGTTGGAGTTTTAGCTATATAAAGCCTAGATGCATGTTTGGCATGAAAAAGTGAAATTAATGTTAAAACATTAATGAAAATGGAACCTAAGAGTTGTAATGTTAATTATGAAAAATGCCCTAATTACATTGATTGATTAATTTGTATAATTAATTGTTGGAAATTGGAAAGGGAAGGGATTAAAGGATGTAGTTGAATCAGTTATCGCTCACCTAATTGAAATGTTGATTTAATATCCATTTTGTGCACTTACTTTCTGTTTAGAAATAAATGCTTTGGGCTATCGGTGGAGGCTAGTCTTGATTGTTGTAGACAATGCATGATGATTAGGCAAACTAAAACTAATCGATTGAATGTGTCATAGAGTATGACGGTGGATTGAATACATTAATTTTATGTATTGATTGATTGTGTATAGAACCTTTGTGTTTATATGCATTGTGTGTAGAGGAGGAGATGGGGGATGTACTCCGCGGTTTAGGGGAAGATGGGGGATGTACCTCTAAACCGGATAGTGTTGGGAGGAGATGGGGGATGAACTCCGTAGATACAGCTCATATGCTTGTCTAGGGAAGTGAAGATACAGCTCATAGGCTTATCTTTGAGAAGTTTAGATACAGCTCATATGCTTGTCTAGTGAAGTGTGGATACAGCTAATATGCTTATCTGTTGATGTGTAATATGCTTATCTGTTGAGGTGTTGATATAGCTAATATGCTTATCCATTAAGTAAAGATGGAAAATGAGAAGTGACATAGACTCGTATGTTATGAAATTGTGACGTGATATATGTGGATGTATCAGTGTTGGCCATCTATCAATTGCTAATCTTTTAGTCATTGTTCATAGTTGGTTTAGTATATCTCTGTTGGGCTGTGGCTCACCCTATATGGAAACATCATTTTCAGGTACAGGTAGCATGCCACCTCCAAGGACATAGCTTGGGAGGCTAGGGGCGAACACACATTTGTTGTCTTATTTCTTTTGATGTATTACATGTAAATTCAAGCCAAGGGCTTAATATGTAATTGAGTTAGTACTCTCTTTTGTAACCAAGTGTTAACTACAAAAGCTGTAAGCCCGTAGGGCATTTGCTTTTGTTGTTAATATGTAATACTTTTGTAATGAAGTACTCTGATGAATTAAAGAATGTGGATCTTTTGTATATGAATGCATGTCTATATTGATGGGTTTAATGTTTTTTTTTTTGAGGGCGTTACAGAACATACTGAAAAATTATCTGCTTTGAGATTGCAGAACAAGAGGAGATTGCCAAAAGCAAGACCCTGGGGGAGCTTTTCACATGGGATGATCTTACCAAGATGAAGTACACATGGAGAGTAGCAATGGAGACTCTTAAGGATAACCCCTCCTGGGTTCTGTTCCTTCAGGAGGGTACTGAAAGATACAGAATTTGGAGGATATCTCATACCAAAAGGGTGGCAAGTATGTGCAAATATTGCTAATATTTCCATAATTGTAGATTAATTACCAGAACAAACGTGTGTAATGTAAATAAAATAATAGCTAGAAGTGACAAATTTCTGATAAACAGGTGGTATGGGCAGCAAGCATGACTCACATGGATGAGACGATTTTCCCAAATCCATCAAACATCAATCCAACACGCTTTGAGCAGCAAGCACCAGCCCGTCCTTACTGCTTTGTGGCATTCGGAGGAGGACCAAGAATGTGTCCTGGGTATGAGTTCGCCAGAATCGAGACACTAGCTATGATTCATTAGTTGGTGGCCCGGTTCACATGTAAGCTTTCCTGCATTGACAATTCTTTCTGCAGAGATCCAATGTCAGTTTTCAATCAGGGGCTACCAATTCATATTAAACCAAAGAAATCTAATGGTGCGATTTAAGTTCAAATAGCTTTCATTGACTTTGATGAAAAATAATATTTCCCCTATTGAATAGACCTAATGTATCGGTTTAGTGGAAACAATTCAGTTATTAAATTAAAAAAAATAAATTAAAAAATCACTTTCTACATTTTATTAACAAGATTTTGCTGCAGCAATTGTGTGCTGCAAGGACCCTTCTTCACAAGGTCAAGGGAATCACTCCTTGACAATTTGATTGATTTTCATGTCCAAGCACTCAAAAGGAATCAGTGGGAGCATTTATGTCACTATTACCATTTTGGTTCCTTATGAAGAAAATGGTGTATAATAAAAATGCCAGTTATTTTGATGACCCTGGGCATAGCACCATTTCCAAAAAGTTCAAGTTAAGTCTAAATGATATGTTGCCTTTAGTTCATTTTATCCCAGAGGAACTTTTATTGAACTTATGATATTCCACTTTATGAGTGGGGTTCTGTGACACATCTACAGGTGATCTAGTTCACCTTAACTTCTCAATGGGTAAACATGTTTCTCCACAATGATCAATTTGTCGAATCTGATGCATAATGAAATTTGGTCAAAACTTCATTTTTGCTTTCTGCCAAATATAAACTTTAAAAGAAGAAATAAAGTTTGTTAAATAACAATTCAGCTGCCCACTCAATCAAACCAGAATCTAGAATTATCCCACCAAGAAGTTAGTTGGCATTTAATCTTTGTCAAGACTAGCATAATGACTGATCCCTTTTTTCAATATAATGTGATATTGCAGAAGTACCATCTGAAGCTCATTCAAATCCCTGCTTCCACATGAATTTTTCCGGCAGTAACATAATCAAATTTTATATCAATAAATTATCTAATATCCAAACACACATTAATGTGTACTAATTGGGAGTTGTTTTTTTAAAAAAATTATCTAATATCCAAATGCATCTCATTCTAAGACAGGAACAAATTAGACTCTGCTAACATTCCAAGTTGATTACAATGGTGAAAACACATCTAGCCTTAAAACTTCAAATCCTGTTGATCCCCATCTATTTTATGTTGATGAAAGATTTGGACGTGCAACTTAATATATCATATAAAATCCTGTATTTGATAAAATATAGACACTTCCACTATTTTTAGTCAGGAATCCTTACAACATAGAAAAGAAAATTATTTCAACAGATAGAACGAAACAAAATTCAAACTGAAACAAATAACAATCATATTACCAAATCAATAATATTAAATGTCAAAAGCACCTTTAAAGTATAGAGGCTATTACCACATTTTGGTACTCTAAAAGCTTTTTTTCTTTGATTCATGGTATCCACCATGAGTAATGCAATTTGTTCATTTTTCTGCTTCGCCACCTTCTCCTGCTCTTCTACTTGCTGCCCTCTGTTTTAATTGGGATCCACTTTCTAGGCCAAAGCATCAACTTCCTGAGAGCACTAAACAACCCAAGGAATAGTGGCTACAAATGAGAATACAGAACATGGGCCAATTTCAAAGGTCAACCTCTTTGGCGCCCTATGGTTCAATCTATTACACGGACTCAAGTACGGGTATCGGGGTGCGGGTGCATATCTAGGGTTCGGACACCTTAAAATTGAAAATGGAAGATACGGGGATATGGATCCAAATTTGGATACGAGGGCGGGGATATAGCAAATAGTTATTTTCAAAAAATATTTATTAAATTATCATGTTAAAAACTTATCAAAATAAATTTTTAAATAATCTTTAATTAATTAAATACAGTATAAAAGTATTTTTAAATAATATTTAATTAATTAAATATAATATAAAATTATTTTTATATAAAATTATTATCTTTATAAAGTTATTATTTTAAAAGTAATGAGGTGAGAGAGAGAGAAAAAGTTATTATTGTCTTTAAATAATAGTGGGGAAAGAGAGCGTCATTATATTTAAATAAAAATAGTGGAGTAGTGGTGAGATATTTAAATAAAAGTAGTGGAGCCAACTGTTTGCTGGACTTGTGAGTCATTATTATCTTTAAATAATATTGGGGTGAGAGAGAGAGAGAGAGAGAGAGAGAAAGAGAGAGCACATACGAAAGAGAAGACAGATCGAGAGAGAGAGATAGAGAAGAAGAGATTGAGAGATGAAGAACAAGAGAGATCGAGAGAGAGAAAAACACAAGATCGAGATTGCAACAGGAGAGAGAAGAGCAAGAGATCGACACGAGTACGGGTAAGGAAGACAAGATCGACTTCGCACTTCGACTTCGACTTCGCACTTCGAACTCAATCACACTTCGACTTTGTCTTGCTGAACTTTGCTTCAACATTTCAGGTTTCTTTTCCTTTCCATTCAAATCAAGTTGTGAATTTCTATATTTCCTTGGTTTGTTTCTTCTCATCTTACCCTCTTCCTGTTCAAACCAAAAACAAGAAAGAAATTTTGTAACAAAAATATTATAGAACAACAATTAGCCATATCCATTTTTATTTTGCCGTATCCCGTACCCGTACCCATGTCATGTCGTGTGGTGTGGTGTGGTGTCAACACAGGTACCTCCCAAAAATGAACGAGTCCGTGTAACGTATGTTCTAATCAAGCCAGCTATAAATAGATTTGTACTCATTAATGATAGGATTGTACTTTCCAATGAGCAGCCAAAACCATTTTTTTAGTAAGCTTTTACTACCAAAAAAGAAAGTACCCAAAAAAGAAGAATATACAACGGAACTCAAAACACTACCAAGAGGCCACCTTGCTACAGAGGCACACACAAAGGACCTAACCTAGAAAGAAAAGCCCCTCACAACCTGTGAAGAACAAGCACAAAGGACACTCAAACCTAAACCACCAAGAAACAAGCCTCTCACAACCCAAAAAAATGTGCACAAAACACACTTCTCACAACCCGAGAAGCTAGACACAAAAACAAAACATAAAAAGAAAGAAAACCACTATCCCACATTTTCTTGCAATTTCACAATAAAATTCTTAGGATTGGTAGACAATTTAGAAAAGGATTTTGCCCATGCAAGCTTTAGATTAAGACTCTTCGTGTCGAGCTTCCTCTTGGTCTCGATCTCTAGAACAAACAATGCAATCCATATTTCTTCTAGTTCATCCTTGATTTCCTTTTCTCTAGGAGTAAGGATGGCAACGGGCCGGGGCGAGGCCGGAGAACACACTTCCCGTCCCCGATCCCCAATGATGAAAACTTCCCAATGATGAAAACTTCCCCGGCCCCGTCCCCAATAGGGAACCTATCACCGTCCCCATCCTCGCCCCCTAACGGGGATCGGGTTTCCCCGACCCCGAAAATTCCCCGGACCAAAGAAAAAAAAAATATGAGCTACATCATCATCAACGACATCACACACAGAGAGATCTAAGTAGAAAGAGAGATCTGAGCAACAGCAACAACATTATCATCAAACAACATCATCAATATCACACACACACACACACAGATCTGAGTAGAGAGATCTGAGTACAGAGAGAAAGAGAGAGAGAGATCTACCGTGGTGGAAAGAAGAGAGGAGGAGGAGGAGGCGACAGAGATGGTCGCTGCGGTGGCACAGACGAGAAGGCGATGGTCGCTGCGGAGGCGACAGTCGCTAAGGAGAAGGCGACGTCGCTGCCTCCCTTTGCTCTCTCTCTCTCTGCTTCGATCTTCTCCTCACCTCACCTTTGCTCTCTCTCTCTCTCTCTTTTTCTCTCTCACAGATTCGGTGGATATAGGGTTAGGTATATATATATATGAATAGATATAGGGGGTATATATGTAATTTCAGCTCGGGAGGAAAACGGGGTCGAGGTCGGGGACGGGGATAGGGCCGGACCGAGGCTGAAAAACAGATCACTGTCCCCGGCCCAAAAATTATCGGGGATTTATTTCTGAATACCATCCCTGGCCAGTCGGGGGTATTTTTCGGGGAAAAACCATGCTAATCGGGGTCGAGAGGTCGAGTCCCCGTCGGGCAAGGTTTAAATTGCCATCCCTATCTAAGAGTAGAAGACACATCTTTAGAAACCACATTTTGAGAAAGGACAAGCCCATCCAAAGTCTCCTCCCTTGAAGGGGTGCTCATCATTTCTCTTTCATTCACATCCCCCAGGTTGTGCAAACCTTTGGAATACACCTTCTCCTATTCCTTACACTCTACCTCCTTTGTTTTCTCCACCTTTTTTGAATTACACGATGCTAACACATCAAAATTATTAGATGAAGATGGAAGGTAATTGAATTCTACAAGAATTTATTGATGAAATATTACAGGCAAGTGGACAGTTCCAGACACCAAAAGCATTTAAGACACAATAAGATTAAAGGGTTAATCAGGTAACACCTGGAGATGCATGGTCAAAATATGGTTTACAAAAATTCTTAACCCAACCATTGCAATAAAATTTCACTTTTTAAAATGAAAGGAAGAACATCAGCAAGAAACTAGTATTGTACATGTGCCTCTCCATGTCCTTAACACAGGTAGTAGAAAATCTCCCACTCAGTCCAACAAAAAGTTTCTTACATTAACAGAACACTCAATGTATCTGGAAAAGATTTCTTTAAAGCATATCATATCATTAGCAGTAAGTTGAACTAAGGTCACTCACTAAAGCACTACTTTTGTGATAGGAATTAAATTCCTTTTAAACTAATGGAGAGTGTTCCTAGAAAATTTTTGTTTGAAGCTAGCTGTAAGTTAAAAGTGAGGTAACTCAATAAAACACAAATATTTTTGTCAGGAACCGACTTCAGTAAATCAAATGGGGAGTGTTTATCAAAATGCCTATCACAGGATCTTTTTTTATCAAAAATAATATATTAATAAGTATAAATAAAGAAAATTACAAGAAAGTGGGAAACAATAAGTCCACCAAAAAAATCAAAAATAAATATAAAGAGCAAAACTCATCAAGATTATAGACTACCGATGACAAATTGCCCACTGATTTAAAAAACAAAAATAATTGAATCACCTTAAAAGGAAAAGAAAGCAAAGCCCCAAATGAGGATAAAAAAACTCTATCCCAAAGAGAATCAATGTCCTTAAGTTTGTCCTCAAAGATTCTAGTATTGTGCTCCAACCAAATACCCATGAACAAAACTAAAGACACAATTCCACAAAACCTAATTTTGAAATATGTAATTGGTCATAAGACTCTTGTGAGCCAAAGTCCACACAAAAACCTTAATGATTTGCTTCAAATTGTTCCAAATCCTAGAATGATGGAGAAAAGGACGAGCATTGTGATTACCAATGATCTTGTTGAAAACCGATTTGCCTGAGACGATCCCCAAAGAATTAAGTGGCCAAACCAATTTATCATTGACATTGGGTCTCAAGGAGAAACCTTAAAGGATGTTCAACAAGGATGTCAAGTTGCCAACTCAATCGATTCACAATCATTAATATTTCTACAAAAAAAATAAAAAAAAATAAAAATTCATGAAATTGGTGCCGATTGGGAAAGCACTATAGATGCGATGGAACATTATGAGAACAGACCAAATGGTACAAACGTGGGAACAACACATCAAAAGAATCCCCAAGCTAAGTATCTTCCCAAAAAAAAACACTCCCACCATTTTTTACCCTTACAGAAAGGAAGCAAGAGTACACCATCTAATGTAATTTTTTAATTTTTTTTTTTATCAACGACAAAAACAGAATTTATTGATAAAGAAAGTGAGGTTACAAGATGAGGACAATGAGTCCTCTTACAAGTAAAGACAAAGAAAAACCACTATGAAATATAACGAATAAAACAAACCAATATTCACAAACAGCTCTCCAATCATTAGATATCAAAAAAAGTAAATGTAAACCCCAGAAAAGCTTCAAGACCGCCTCATCTAACTATGATTACATATGACTATAGTTGTTGAGGATTCCTTTGAACTCCAGAAGCTGAATGTTGTATTTTGTCTTTCAATGCTAACTTCATATTTGCACAGAGTCACCAGTAGTACAAGTACTGATTAATGACAAAAGACAAAACTATACATTTTGCTCAGGGAATGCTAAATCCCAAAAGAAAGGAAAGTAAAAAGACCATTTCTCATAAATTGACTGTTTTATTTCTTAAATTGAAATGAAAACATAACCCAATAATATAGAATCTTCCTAGTTGTGATTGGTAACACACCAGAAAGGTGCTGGAACCCCATTCAAAAATACCCAATTCCTAACTTCTTGTCAACGGATACAAGCATATAATTCAAAATTTGAGTTATAATTGTTTTCTAAAACAAAGAAGACAAATGAGGTCAATGCACTTTGTCAGAAAACATATCCTGCAGAATTCGGAAACTAAGAAGGCAACTAATGTTATTTTTGTGCCAGCTATTTGGTTGATGAAGAAAATCATATTTGACAACATTTAAGCCCTTCAAACAAGGAAAATAAATCCATACGCTAGGTAATGACTTTAACATCATGACATGTAGGCTGTGACCATTCACAATTAACCCTGTTCATGATTTTCACCTCAGGGCACAAGGAATGTAATTTTCCCAAGTAATTTTACATCTTTCATTGACTAGTTTCAACATTGGACTTAAATCAAGTAGAACGATCCATAAAGTTGTTCGTGACCTCATAAACGAGTAGATGAATGGGATAATGCTGTGCATCACAGAAGATGAGCTCATCACTTGCACACTCAGAAACATGATGAAGATAATGCAGTCACAATGATGGGAAGACATTGCGGATAATGCTATTATTATTATATTTTATGATACGGGACTGTCTGACCTAACTTTCTTAATGCAGTTCTGTCAATGGCTTCAACATTCATGCCAAGATTCTTCATGCACAAGAAAAAAGACATGCACAACTCATCCACATGCATGAATATGCACACAATGAATTGTACCTCAACTGGACAAGAATAGGAAGTAAATACATTTATCAAAAAACTATACAACAACTAGGCTCACAGGACAAGAAGACAGAGCTAGGAAAACAGTTTCAAACAGCTTCTCACTAGGGATGACCTAACAAAATACACATGGCAAGCAATAAGGGAGACTGAGGATTATCCCGCCTCTCCTTCCTCTATTTGGTTCCTCCATAAGAATCCCCAAAGATTTTGAGCATGACAGCTACCTAAAACCTAAAGGGTGGCAAATAGAGGTAGTTTTGTGCTTCAAGTCTAATTAATCTTCTTTTCATACGCAAATATTTTGTGCTTCAAGTCCGACACAGAGATGAACAAAACTTCTCAATCCATAGAAATTCAAAATCATGAAAATTAACTCCAATTCTAATTCACCAACAAAGCACCGGATTTTGATAGAAGTTGCAGAAAAGTGAATGAAATTTGAA